ACATCAGTCCCACTCAAATACATAACATGACGGCCTAAAACTGTGTTTGACTGGGACTGAGACTAATGTCGATGGGACAAAAAATCTCTCATGTGTGCAAAAGACGTAAATGCCCTCATGAAACAAGTGATAAAATCACCTGCGGAGATGGTGTTGACTCTAATTTTATGTTTTCTTCCGGCTTCAAAAGCAAGGACCTAAATAAAACAAATATATAAAATTGACATGATTAATGATTTAATAACAATGTTTTTATTTTGTAGTGTAGAAGATTTAATTATTTAAAGATGAGAAGAAAGCTTACTTTTGTGTCACTCTCAAGTGCAGCTTTTGCTGAACTCATCCCTCCACCATATCTGTTATGTATAGAATGAATATGTATAAGAATGAAACATAATTTAAAAAAAAAAAAGAATAAAAAAAATGTACCCTGGAATGATCCTCTCAGAAGCAATGTATGTAAGAGAAATTGAAGAACCACCTATGAAATTCAAATTGTTAACTTATAATATATATAATTTTAATACATATACTAATAACAAAAATGATGACATGGCATACCAGGGTTCATGATTGGAAGGAAATGCTTGAGTAAAGAAACATATGAATAGCTTGATGCAGATACTGCTGCTAGATAACCTTTTCTTGATGTCTCCAATAGAGGCTTAGTAACCTAATAAAAAATTTAATCAAATTTTTAATAACAAAAAAATGGTGTATATTACTATATTTAATATATTCATGTTCATGAATAACAAACCTCTGGTCCATTAGCAAGTGAATGCACCAAAATATCAATACTACCAAAATCTTTCTTTACTAATTCTGCAACTTCCTGAATTTCTCAAAAAAAAAAAAAAAAAAAAAAATCAATAATTGAATAAACAAAATGAAATGCATAAAAAATGACAATAGTGTGAGTATATACCTGTACAGTCCAATTACTTGCTCCTGCATAACGTTTATTTGCTTTAATCTGCATGAATAAAGTCATTTATTTATACGTCTATAAAATATTTAAATAATTAATACTTTATTTATTATCACAATTATATGTATGATTACATCTTCAGGTACATCTTCAGGGTTATCAAACACAGCATCTAATGGATAAACTTTAGTAATCTCCATTAAAGATCCATCTGGCAAACTGAAATATTAACATAAGTGAAAATGAAATATTGAGATTATGAAAATGTAGAAAAAGATGTGTTGAAGACTTACACACGAGATGAATCGAATTTCCCTCGTCTTAGACTCATTTCAAATATGTTTAAAGCCTATTTTAAAAGGTGAATAAAGAAAAGAGAGATTAATAGCCAATAGGGGCAATAATGTCCAGAGTTGGATAAAAGTGATAATTCTACTTTACTTACAGGCACCCATGTTCCAACAAGAATTTCAGCACCTGCTGCAGCTAAAGATTTTGCAATAGCCCAACCATATCCATTGTCATCAGCAACACCAGCAATGAATGCCCTTTTACCTTTAAGTAAAAATATTTACTTAGTAACACATTGTATTAAATCTATCTAAAGACAACAACACCCCTGTTTGTGAATTTTGTATCAAGAAAACAGATAAAGATGAGGATCAAAACAAATTCAAACCTTTCAAATCAATCGATAGCTGGGATGTGGATTTGGTTTCAGAAGCTTCAGACATTGATCTTGTAACAAACTTACGAATCCTTGGATGATTAATTGTGAAGCTTTGATTAGAATTTAACATGGATGAAAGATGAGAAGAGCTTGTAAGCTTAGATGATAAAGCTCTATCGGATTCTTGCACAAAACTTGCCATGGTAACCCCAAGATTTCTTTGAGTAAGAAGAACAGAGGGTCTCGTGAAAGTTATTTGTAGGGCAGAAGCACCAATCGCCATCATTTTTAGTGTATGAAATGGAAATCTATCAAGGAAAAGAGAACAGAAGTTAGAAAAGTATCATTTGGTAAAATGTGGTTTGGATCACATTACTAATTTCACATGCTTTAGCTAGCTAGAGCACTTGGATATGGAACTTGCTATATACAGTCTAAGAGGATTACGATAATGTGACCTAACTAAAGCTTTCAACTCCGAAATTCAACAAGGTAAAGTCGAATTTCTACAATCATCTAGTACAACATAAATTTTATGTTCCTTTTATAAATTATTCAACAAAATCTGTAAATCGTGGCACTATGTAGCAGAAAACCAAGCTCGTATAGGAGGAATGTGTGATTAAGTATATACATTACAACTGGAACAAAATTCTGGCTCAAATTGTTCATATCCAAACATAATTACATCCAGAAAACCTGAATTTCAACAAAAATAGGCTAGAATTGCATTTCTGTGTGCATGAAAGAGAGCAAGTGAAGCTTACTATGCGACAGGAGGCGCCAAAGCTCAAAGGTGGATCTGTGTCTGTCGCTTGCTGTGTGGGTGAGTCGTGACTCGTGAGATAGTGGAACTGGAAAGGGTTGATTTTACATGGGCCATGATTGGGCTTTTGAAAGATTTGTTTACCACGGGGTGTTTGGGATACTTTTTAAATTAAAAAATACTTTTTTTGAAGTTTTAAAATATTTTTGTATAACTTTTGAGGGGATAAAAAAAAAGACAAAAGTTGTTAAAAGTCATAATTCCTAACTTCTTAATTTTTTTTTTCTTCTCAAAAAGCTAATTCAAAATTACCCAAACAACTCTTTTACACTTTTAACTTTTTGAAAAAACCAAAAATCATTTAAAAAGGAAAACCAAACACCATTTTACCATGAATAGATCATTCTGAGTTCTGGTCTGTTTTCTTCTTTTCTCTTTTATATACTCGGATGTGTGTTTCTTTTATCGGTCTAGACCATTTCGATCTTACAATTAATATAATACTAATAGAGGCTAGGGGATAACTACTTTCTTAATCTCAACCAATAAATTATCTCAACTTTCAATCTTGTCCATTTTAATTGCCTATTTACAGTTTTTCATGAGTTTTCTCTTCCAACTCCATAGGCTCCCACAACCTTCTCTCCGATACTCCACAGGCTCCCACGACTTTTTATCCGGCTGTACATCTCCCTCTTCTTCGTTTCTCATCTCTTTCCCATGATATGAAGGTTGAAACTTCCGATGATATGATGGCATGTGTTGGTGCCTAAATGGAGAGAAAGGATGTTGTGGTGCGTATGCGTATAGAAGTGGTCATGAAGCACTACAAAAAAAATGTCAATTAGTGACCAAAATGATATGGTCACCGACAATAGAATGAATCGTCACTAAATGATTTAGTGACGAAAATTCCAGTCGTCACTTTTCGTCACTATAGGTCCGTCACAAAACCAATTTAGTGACCAAATATAAATATAGTCACTAAACAGTGACTAAAATATACTCGTCATTAAATCTGTGACGACCCACTTCGTCACTAAATGTTGTCACTAACCAATTAAAGTTGTCACTATTTTATCTACTTAGTGATAAATAAAAGTCGTCACTGTTTAATCTGATTAGTGACCATAGAAAGTGGTCACTGTTTAATCTGATTAGTGACTACAAAAAGTGGTCGCTGTTTAATCTGATACTGACTATACCATGTCATCACTAATTTATCCTATTAGACACAAAAATGGGTCAATAAATAAGAAATTATTGAAATATTAAATGTTATTTTTAATATGAAATATAACAATATCCAATTAGACAAAAGAAAAAGCAATCCAATAAATTTTTACAATACAACAATAACCAAATAAATCTTCACATTTAAAATATCAAAATTAAATGTCAATTAAAAAATGCATACATTTTATCTAATATTTCAAACAACAAACATATAAAGATCAACCGGATGAAGTTCATTTAATCTGATACTGACTATACCATGTCATCACTAATTTATCCTATTAGACACAAAAATGGGTCAATAAATAAGAAATTATTGAAATATTAAATGTTATTTTTAATATGAAATATAACAATATCCAATTAGACAAAAGAAAAAGCAATCCAATAAATTTTTACAATACAACAATAACCAAATAAATCTTCACATTTAAAATATCAAAATTAAATGTCAATTAAAAAAATGCATACATTTTATCTAATATTTCAAACAACAAACATATAAAGATCAACCGGATGAAGTTCATTTAATAAGAAAAGTAAGTTCAATTCATCAATGCAATTGAGATAAACGTGAAAGTTCAATCGTCATAAATTCCATTTTCTTAGTTTGCTCCTCTCGATATTTGATTTGCTCTTCTTAAAATTGTAGTTGCTCTTCTTTAATTACACGAATTTCCTCCTCCAAGGCTTTTGATTTTTCCTTTTCTAATTCCACTTCCATTTGTAAATTTTCCAATTACACGAATTGTAGTTTTTTCATACATATTTCAACCGACGAACAAGAAGAAGAAGCTTCTTCATTTAACAATTCATTATGCATAACAAAACAATTTACATTAGAAGTAAAACAAAAATTATTAATAAATATGTCAAGATATTAAAAATACCCAAATTTCTCCGACCTTCTCATTGATCATTTGATTTTTTCTTTTTCGAAGAATGTCCAATCTTGTAAGGTTCAATGAATGATACTTCTTCTTCATTGATGAACTCTTTCTTTTTCCATTGATGAATTTCAGTCTGTTGGAAATTGTGTACCTGAAGAGCATTAAAGATTACAAAATGTCCAACATACCCTTCAGCCATCTTCCAATATAATAATTTAACTTTTATGAAAATATGATGAAGAATAACAATTTTAGAATTTGACCTGTAGAAGGATTCGACACCGACCCTTAAGCATATGGAATCTTTCATCAAATTGGATGCTATTGCTAGGCGTTGACTAGTCAACACCTTCACCTATCACAACATGTATAGTTATCATTGCAACCTGTATTATATCAGCTGCATATCCCTACAAAAACACCTGCGGTTTATAAATTAATATAAATTACTAAAATGAGAAAATAAAATATTTTTAAATATTGTACCTGACAAATGGAATTCACAGCCTATCTCTGAGCTTTTGATTTTTCTTCACTATTTCCAAACTTAACTTTTGCCAAAAACCGCTTCCTTCCCATCAAAGTTTCGACATAACTATATAACAAATACCATTAACATATGTTAAATTAATTAGTAAACAAATAAATAATAAATTATTGATTATATCTTACCCTTTTTTATGGCAGATTGCAACAACGTTTTTAAGCCAAGAAGCAACACTAGGGAAAGATATTTTGAAACTATGAATTTTGTCTCTAGCATCGTCTGGACCACATTCCAGCTGTTCAGCAAATGAATTTGCACCTATACTTCTTTTTCCTGAACATTTTGCAGTGATCATGTTGAACACATCACCAAGAGGCTTTGTCAGAAGATCAATCAGTGATTGGTCTTTAGAAAAATGAGTCATTAATCTTAGTTCTATCTGAGAATAATCTGCAGTTACTAATAACCAGTTTTCCTGCATGAAATATATATATATATATATATATATATATATATATATATATATATATACCCTTTATATTTTATACATTAACAAATTGAATAACTTGTAATATTCATAATAAAATAAATATTGACCTGAGTTGGAATGAAGAAATCACAAGGATTTACTTTGTAGAGTTCCATGTTTGAATCATCGCCTTCTTTTTCATTGCTATCAATCTTGAATTCAACCATATGCTCGACACACTAGAAGAAATATTTATAAGAAAAACAAAAAAGAAAAAGGAAGAAAATAAGAAGAAGAGAAGATATTAACCTGAAGATTGGGATCCTCCATGGATAACCTTTCTGTTACTGTTGAAGTTTTGAGCCGATGTCCATGAAGGGTATATCTTTGAGTCTTCATAGATAACTTAGAAAGTGAACAAATTGAACCCAATGTACAGTTTAAAACCTTGACTAATGCCCGGTGTTCTTTAATAATAGGAACAATAGGATGCTCAAACCTTAAAAACAAAGTAATAACAAACAATCATCATCTCTTCATCTAATAAGTTGTTACGCTAAAAAAAATGCACCTTAATAATTCTAAAGAATGTTTGTCAGTACTAGGGTGTTGTTTCCCTTTATACCATTCCCGAACTGGCAGTTTTAATCTGTTGACATGTACAAAGAAAACCTCGTACCCGCCAATTTATAAGCTTAGCTTTTAAGAGATCTCAGTTTTTTATCAATCACAAGACGTGATTGTATACAACCCTCCATGTCAACACCTATTACGGAAACTTCCATATCAGAAAGAACATTCACTAATGTCATCTCGATCGTTCTAACGGTTCTAGAAGCTTCTCGGATGTTAGTAACTTCAAGAGAACTGATGATGTTGAAGGTCATCACTAGCCCAATAGAATCATGTTATTGTCTAGAAGAAGTTAGCATGTTCTAGAATGATCTGGAAGATTCTAGAACATTATGGAATACGATGGATGAGTGTTGAAGATGCCGGAAGATTCTAGAATACTCTAGAACGAGATGGAAGACCCTGGAAGGCTATGGAACATTCTAGAACACTATGGAAGACACAAGAATGTCTATACTTATCTAGGACATTATAGAACATTCTAGAAACATATAAAAGCTTGTAATAGATATAGAATATTGTAGATAGTTCTAGAATAGCCATGAATGTATGTAGATCTAGAAACTTCCTATAAGGAGGTGGAAACACCTATAAATAGGTGTGGAGCTCATTTGCTCCAAACAATCCAACATCTAAGTATCCAAGAAAGCAAAGTGTGTAGTAGTCTCACAAAGTGTAAGTTCTCCTTAAGTGTCTTAATAAAAGTCTTGTTGTTTCCCATATAAAAGAGTCGTGTTCAACAATCTGGTATCAGAGAAAGGTTTCTTGATAGTGAGAACGAGTGATTCTCGTTGTATCGTGAGTAGTTTGTGACTCTGCAAGTTTAGTGTCGAAACTAGCTTGTTTGGTATTACCGAGGTACTGCCAACACGATGGGTGATCTCCAAGTCGTCGGAGGAATCAAGAAACTCAACAACAACAACTACAAAACGTGGGAAACATGTATGAAGTCCTACTTACAAGGACAAGATCTATGGGAGGTCGTTGGTGGAAGCGAAACTACGCCACCAGAGGAAACGTTAATGGTGCTTTGCGCAATGGAAAATCAAAGCAGGCAAAGCAATGTTTGCCTTGAAGACCACAATCGAAGAAGAGATGTTGGAGCATATTCGGGATGAGAACACCCCGAAAGAAGCTTGGGACACGTTTGTGATGCTTTTCTCAAAGAAGAATGATACGAGACTACAACTTTTGGAGAACGAGCTATTATCAATCTCACAACGTGACATGACGATTGCTCAATATTTCCACAAGGTCAAGTCGATATGTCGGGAGATTACTGAACTAGATCCGCAATCCGTCATTGCAGAAGCTCGAATGAAGAGGATCATTATCCATGGACTAAGGCCGGAATATAGAAGCTTTGTTACTGCTGTACAAGGATGGCCCGTTCAACCATCACTTGTAGAGTTTGAAAATTTGTTGGCCAGCCAAGAAGCTATGGCTAAGCAAATGGGAGGCATCACGCTGAAGAGTGAAGAAGAAGCACTCTACACAAGTAAAAGTCGGAGGAATTTCAAGCCACCTTCTAAAGAAGGATACAAAAATGCTGACAAAGGGAAGAGTCAACCAGGAACCTCACAACCATGGAGATCTCAAAAGACCGACAATAAGAGTTCTGGGGAGGAGGTTCGAAGGCAACTGCAACAACTGTGGAAAGTGGGGCCACATGTCCAAGGATTGTTGGTCAAAGAAAAAGTCTGTGGAAAGCAATGTAGTAACTTCCAAAAAGGAAGTAGATGATGAATGGGATGCTGAGGCACTATGCTATAGAAGAGAATAAGACTAAAAGAGGAAGGCTAATGTTCGTGGATGCCAGGGTAAATGGGGATACACCAAGGCATTAGTAGATACAGGTGCATCCATAATTTCCTTGCTAAAGATGAAGCTAAAAAGTTGGGCATCAAATACACCAAAAATCCAGGCCGGTTGAAAGTCATCAACTCTTTATCCAAGCCTATCATTGGTGTTGCATATGGAGTACCTCTTAAGATAGCAGAATGGGAAGGCACCATAGACTTGACAGTGGTGCATATGGATGACTATCGTATGGTATTAGGAATGGATTTCCTAGACAACGTACGACCCTGTTCATTTGAGAGAGATGATACCATACGTATCACTAAGGGTTCAATAATTCACATTGTACCCTTGAAGAGAAATAGGATTGGATCCCAAATCCTATCAACTATGCAACTCGACAAAGGTCTCAAGAAGAGTGAGGAAAAGTTTATGACAGCCTTGAAGGAGGAAATTGTTCCCTCAAAGATGGACATTCCGAAGGAGAAGAAGAACATAATGTCACTAGGGTTACATAAAAACTCGCATCTTAGACGAAAAGTGGAACATGTGATGGAGAAACCTAATAAGGCGAATAAGAAGAAAAACACATTAATTCGTAAGAGCAAAGTAAAATCTCTCAACCAAGCAAAATCTAAACGAGATGATCAGATCAATAAGGGATCACGTCATAACATGTTAATATTACAGGAATTTTCCAGGGCTTGTAAAAGGGACACCCCACATGCTTACAAGTTCTCCAACGGGAGGCATAAGAAACTATATAAGAGCGTTCATCGGGGTCACGGACAATATTATGGTGCAACAAAAGGCAACCACGAATGTCGTTGTCAACTATGGAAACAATATACGAAGCAACGACTGTAACAACTAAGGAAAAACAAAACATGTGGAAGAGAAAAAGTTCTCAAGGAAGAAGTCAATATGAAACATATCAAGACTAATGACCAAGTAGCAAATGGAGTTCATAAAGGGTTAAGTACTGACAAATATGAGGGCTTTAATTATCAGCTCAACATGGTACAACGAATAGGGGCTAGTGCTGAGGGGGGGTGTTGAAGGTCATCACTAGCCCAATAGAATCATGTTATTGTCTAGAAGAAGTTAGCATGTTCTAGAATGATCTGGAAGATTCTAGAACATTATGGAATACGATGGAGGAGTGTTGAAGATGCCGGAAGATTCTAGAATACTCTAGAACGAGATGGAAGACCCTGGAAGGCTATGGAACATTCTAGAACACTATGGAAGACACAAGAATGTCTATACTTATCTAGGACATTATAGAACATTCTAGAAACATATAAAAGCTTGTAATAGATATAGAATATTGTAGATAGTTCTAGAATAGCCATGAATGTATGTAGATCTAGAAACTTCCTATAAGGAGGTGGAAACACCTATAAATAGGTGTGGAGCTCATTTGCTCCAAACAATCCAACATCTAAGTATCCAAGAAAGCAAAGTGTGTAGTAGTCTCACAAAGTGTAAGTTCTCCTTAAGTGTCTTAATAAAAGTCTTGTTGTTTCCCATATAAAAGAGTCGTGTTCAACAGATGAGAAAGCTCTTGTTTGAGTTGCGCGCGTACAACAACCGTTGTCGGCAATCGAGTTGAATTCAGATCTTTTTGTGAAGTGAATGTCAAAAAAGAATTCATTTGCGGTTACAATCGCAATCAGCTAGAATTCGAAAACAATCAATAAGGTTTCAGAATTTAGAAACAATCTGAAATTGATTTACAATCCAAGAACAAATGAATAATCAACTGATCAAATATGAAGTCTTAACAAAAATTAGAACTAGAAAGTTATGAATTGAAGCTATGTAGAGTTGAAGATCATTCGACAATCAGGTATCAACAAAAATCAGAAAGAGTGATGAACCGATGATATGCAGACTTCACAAAAATCAGAACAAATTACTCAGCAAAACATAAGTCAACAATTACAACTTTACAGAAAGCAAAAGAAACTCAACTAATTGTAGAAATCGATTGAGGACCAACAAGTGATTCAGTTGTGGTAGAACGTAGAGAAATCGATTTGACAACTTCAGAAAAATGAGAGAGAGAGAGAGAGAGAGAGCTCACCGATTATGAACCAACAGAGATGATATACTCAGATACAACCAATCCTGCAGGAAACTTTAGGAAGAAACTTGCAGCGGAACTATATGTGCAATAAGTCGAACAAGATGCAGACCCATAGTAGAAATCCACTCTCAATTCATGTGAGCATTTCATCGAACAACTGCTGTGCACATGCTATTGAATGCGGAAGAAGATGAACTGCAGTCCCTAGATGCTGAAAATATAAGTCGAAGGGCAATAGATGAATACACAACTCGGAAGAGGAGAAGGAGCGCATCAAGTGATTCCATATAGTCTATGTAAGCTATGTAATCATATTTCCTGGTATCAGGAAGCCGATTGATTAGCAATTGAACAATTGATTAGTAAGAAAGCTATGTATGCGGCATGAGAGCGATAGATGGCCGGAGCGGAGAAAAGAGTATATGTTTGACTTCGATTGGAGAACAGAGGTGCGTCGATGGGAGGGTATGAAGCAACGATGGATTGACGACGTTCGTTCCAAACTGCCGATCGTTGGTGTGTCGATTTAGGGCAAACTGTAAAGAGAGATTCATCGGGATAATCAATTTGATGGTGGCAGAGGCGATCCGGAGGGGATGTCAGGAGATGGAGCGGGGAAAACACTGGTTAATGGATCGTAAAAAGGTCCGATTTGTATTCATTTTTATTACGTGGAAAAAGGCTTTTATATAAAAATATATTCATCAAATTAACTCACAACTGTCTAGTTATTTAAAAACTCTTTGCAAAATTATGTGTAAAAAGAAAACATTGTCATTTTCAAAAATAAAAAATATTAATTAAAAATATTTTAATTTTTATTAAATGAAAATTATATATATAGAGTCTGTGACCACTAATTTATTGTCACTAATTTTTTTTACATGTAATTCATCAATGAAGATTAATTTATAGTCACTAATTGTTTTTTTTACTTGTAATTCAATAGTGACCACTATTGAGTGGTCACTAATTGTTTTTCCCCGTTTAATTAGTTTTCAATAACAAAAGAGTAAGGCTGTTGTTTTGAATAAGAGTAGTCAATGATCATTATTTTTGGTCACTAAACCTCCAATACAGTGACCATTATTTTTGTCACTAAGCATCTAACACAGTGACCGTTATTCTTAGTCATTGTATAGTTAACATAGTGACCATTATTTTTAGTCACTAAATAGTTGTTATGATATGAAACAAAAGTAGTTTAATTTATTCACGGTTTAGTGACTTAGTTAGTGACCACCACATAAAATTGGTCATTAAAATTTTGGGATTACCAAAATTCAGTGACCACTTAATTTCCGGTGACTAAAAGATGCTTTCGGTGACAAAATTTTAGATCATCACTAAAAATTAGTCACT